GTGTTTACATTTTTTACCCTTTATGGAGGGCTTTCTTTCCTCCCGACAAGACCATTGAGGCAACTGCCTCGGTGGCAAGGCACCAGGCAGATGCCTTTTCTACCCAACCGAATTACGTGCTCGCATAGGCCACTTCAGTTCGGTGGAGGGCCTCAACAACGCAAGTGGCAAGGAGCCTGAATTTGATATGAAAGAAAATAGGAGAAAAATTTCTCCCAACCAAGCAACTCAGACCAAGTTTACCATAAAATTAGGTTGGCCAAGTTTTGCAATGATTTTAACTCACCCATTGGGCGAATCCTGAGTTTCTAGAAATTGATATAGAAAGAATCATCACCCAAGCTTTATCCCAATTATTTGGGGTTGGATATATGAATCTTGTTCATTCATTCTTCTCTATTAAGGGCCATACCCTCAATAAGATTTAAGATTCATGATAAGATGAGACAAAATTTTACATTGGCTGCCTACTTAACTGAACCCACCTCCTTTACCCGAGCTTGGGATGGGTTAAGGAAAAGTTAAGGTCCTCACCCTTATTAGACTTAGATACAGAAAGAATAAATAGCCAAAATCATACAAGGGTAGTACATGAACTTATACATTAAGTACAACTAATGTGGGTGGGCTTGAAAATACAAGGTCTCTCGTGTATATATCATTGGGCCCCTAGTAATCTTTGATGGAGGAAAGCTATTAGGAATTATATATGGCAATGCCTTTCCTTTTTTCTTGTTTGCAAAGGTGAGATTAGCTATCGCAGCATTTCTTTTTTAGAAAGAATCTATCAAACATTCTTAAATGCAATCATCAATCGATATTCAAGTGGGAGTCGTCCAATCCAACCGATTCGTTCCAAATGAAATAATACTCCAATGATAACAAAAAGTCAAAGAGAAATTCAATGACATGATTCTTGTTTATATTAATACTTGGGTTTGTGAATTTAGAAAAAGATAAACATATTGTTCAACAGAATTCGCTATAAATTACAATATAGTGGATAAGTGAACTTTGGGAACCTTGATCCTAATCACGGTGAAAGGCGATCCAGTGTAACAAGGAATCTGCTCCTCTGCAGATATTGAACGAACTCCCTAAAAGTCAAGGATCTAAATCCTTTAACCTAACTATGTACAGACCTTATCCCCCAGGCCACGGATTTTCAAACCCACTTCGCTCTGAGCTCTGGATCTCAGAGCTCTTGTTGCTCCCATTCCCGGTAATTATTCTCATAGACTCCCAAATCTCCAATAAGACCAAATGACCAATACAAAATGATGTCATACAAAAGATGCGATACAAACGAAAAGAAAGAGGCAATCTTTAATTCCTCAATGTTTTGGATGTCTGATCTTCAATGTTTCGATCGTCTAAAAGGCCCAATATCACCCCAAAAGCCTTCTTATGACCTCATTTGGACCCTAAAAATGATTGCAATAAGATATGGGCAAGGTTTCAAATGATTCTATGAACTTTTCAAAAAAAATTCAATTGGGTGTTTCTAGGGGCGTTTCTAAGACAAAATTATCAATGAATCAAAATGACCGAAATGGCCCCACTAAAGAAATACTCCGCCATTTTTATGGAGGATATGGGGCACTCGCCAAAGACTGGGCACTAAGTAGCTGCCTAACCCACCTAGGCAGGCACCCTATTTAGGTTGTCAACTATATATGAGGGAAGTGACTATCCCTCACCCTTGACCATGCGAAAGGTCAAGGTGGTGATGCATTGGTGCATTGTGTCACACACGTGAGCTAATGGCTAAAGCCCCTTGGTGCGAGACCTTGGGCGAGACAGTGCAGATAGATGGTTGTCGCTGATCCAAATTGTTGCTTGGTTGGTTTGACCCTAGATGGCTCCACTTAACGAGACATGGGTGAGGACCATGTGCAAGAGGTGGGCTACCCATACACCTGGCTGGGCAGATGTGTTGACCGTAACGGTCATGATCGTGGATGGTGGGCACATAACTAAGTGGACGTCAAGATTAAAATTCAAACTAAGGCACGTATAAAGGGTGAGCCTAAGCTGTAGGTGTAACGGCTAGTGCGTGGATTATCTTTTTTTTTTTGAGCGGTAACGTACGACTTATCATTAATTCATATGTAAAATACAAGATGTTCAAGCAAAGAAACAAGATTACAAAAATGAAGTAACAAACAGAGATGGAGTATGGACTCCTCCTTTCGCAAGAACATCTGCATCTTCATTCGTCTCTCTAAAACAGTGTTGGACCGTTGCCATGTTTCTCTCAAAAAAAAAAACAAAGTTGGACTGCTGCAATAGAGGTTGACAAAATATCCCAAATTTTATGAAAAATAGTCTTTAATCTCCAAGGAATATGGGCCTTTCTCTTACTCCAAGCAATGACATTTGCCGAGTCTCCTTCGATAATCCTGCCAACTTCCAAAGTGCATAGCAATTTCAAACCTTCTCTTAAACCTCGCGCTTCTGCCTCGTTTGCTGTTGTGATACGACAAGGACCAAAGTAAGAAAATATAATGTGATCCAAATTATATCTGATGAGTCCACCATAGCCAACTGGCCCTGGATTGCCAAGTGAACTTCCATCAAAATTAAGTTTGAGGAGACACATGCCCCAGGTGTCTAGGAATGGGGAGACACATGCCCCAGGTTGACCAGCACGTGGGCCATGAACAAGACGGAGGGCGGAGTAAGATAGTGGATGGTGTAACTGACCGAAGAGCAGGGAGTTATGACCAGAGAGGAGGGCCGCTGACGCACCTACATGTGTCCCTATTATAGTTGTTGGAAACACCTGTAATTCCGAATTGTTTCAAGAATCGAAATCGCAAGGGACTAGATGATTCTTATAATTAGAATCATCGTCCGCACAATACAAATCAAATGTAGCATGATTCCCACTATATCGAAATTGCGATTCAAAAAAAAGAAATCATAACTCCAATATCATTGGAATTGTTGTCCTGTCAATTGAAAATCAAGATATTGACCTTTCAGGAATTGCAAACCAATCCACTCGAAACCATGTCAAAAGTTTTTGAAAAACAAGTCCCAAAAGATAAGATTTAAAGTTTTATATTATTTATAAGTACGAATTCCAAACTCCATATATTGAGTACGATTATCCAGGGCTCCCCTATTATATGATTCAATGTCTTCAATATCCCTCCACTAACATTGAAGTCGGGTATTGAGTCACCTTTTAATGCAGCTCTCTACAACTAATAGAAAACAAGGTGCGTTCCCTTAGCTAAGTACTTTCCTAGAGTTTCTAGATTGAATAAATAAATAGAATTACTTTAGTTTTATTAAATGTAGATCTAAAGTTAAGATATTCAACCTTAATACAAATTCTTGACATTTACGAAGGATGTAAACTACAAATATCACTAATTCGCTCCTCTTAAAAATTGGGATCAAGGTCTCATATATGTTGAATCCCAATCTTGTGCACCTATATATCGCAAATTTTGCGAGATGAAATCTAGATTCCTAACTTCCAAGAATCATGATTTAAAAAAATTGGAACAAGATTCAAAAAATTTGGAATAATGATTCTTGACTTCCAAGAATCATGATTCCTTCTCGAAAACACGTAATCGCGATTCCGAACCGGAACCGCAACCTTGGTACACGATTCGACAAGCCATATGCCAAGACCATTTGACACATGTATTGTATTTGAATTTTGAAAAGTGAACCAAGGATCTATATAAACCCCTGGCCCATACCGTTGTGAGGCATCTGTGGCAATATACCCATGTAAGGGTACAAACTAACCTAGTGGGGTACGGCCCTTAGCCATTGGCTTGTGCAAGTGACCCCTGTGCATGTATGCTTGATCTTTGCTCTCATGTGGTTTGTTGGAAAGTTCGCACAGCCTTATTCAGTGGAAGACTTAGGCTTGGCACCGCAAGGCGTCAATCGCTACATTTTACCTCGTGACAGTTAGTATCAGAGCGAAAAGGTTGTTCAGAGAGTGTAACCATGGCCTATGTTATCGCTGAAATACAGGGTTGTGTCGACCACCTCAAGGAGCAATGAGAGCAACTCACCCATGGGGTCCAAGATGGTGATTTGGGCAGAACCTTACTGTCTTAAAGGCCTAGATCAGTACTTTGGAGGTTAAGACGGAGGACCGTTGTGGTGCCTATGATGGTTGTATGGGAGGGCTCATGAACGTCCTCAAGGCTATCACGGAGTCCTTCAAGGCCAACCTCATGACCCTATAAGAAGATATGACTCTTGTGAAGTGGGCCTTGTGTAACACTACTAGCAGGTTGGGCTCTCATACTATGACGGTGCCAGAGCCACGTATTAGAGGAGCAAAGAGACTGCAAGGTATTGGGGAATTCCCTTTGGTGACATGGCGTAGTACTTCGAGAATGCTCATGCACGTGAGGAACACCATGTTGGCATTTGCTCCATGTACCTCATTGGAGACGTAAAGGTCTTGGTGGAGGATGCGGATCCAAAACGCATCAAATCCTAAGGTGCGCGATTGAGAGGGCTTGAAACAAAAAATGACGACCAATTGTTGCCAACTAATGCAGCCCAGGTGGCTTGAGAAGCTTTGTGAAGCTTCAATAGATAGGCTCAATGCGAGACCATGTGAAGTTCACATACCTAATGCTAGATATACAAACCATGACCGATGAGGACGAGTTATTCAACTTTGTGTTTGGATTGCGCGATTGGGCCCAGGCTGAATTGAGGAGCCAAGGAGTGCGCACCTTGTCTACTGCTATGGCCGCAGAGGCCTAGCAAATTTCAATCTTCATGGAGACAGACCATCGAGGGTGGTGCACTGCAATGGCACTAAGTATGAGATAGGGGCGACCAAAGACAAAAAAGGCATCCCGGAGAGTTGTTTCATCAGTGGGGTCAACCATTGAGCAAGGCAGCGCCCACAAAAGAAATCCCTCAACACAATTTGACTAGTGCAAAAGGATGAGAATGTGAGTGTCTAGAAACCAATTCTCTTGACTTTGATTATAATGTAAACAAAATACAAGTCAATACACCTTGAATTTTTTTAATACACTTGAAAATACAACTTCCAAAATCAAATTAAGCAAAGGTCACTGTAACTACAATGAGCTATTGACTTCTAAATACACTCAAATGAGAAGATACAACGCAATTAAGGTTCCTTACACATGAACAAAACAAGCCATAAAGGAAATCAACAAACTACACATGTACAATGTGCATTTGAAAATTCAGCACCACTCACACTTACAAGACAAAATTATACATCAACAAACTCATAAAAAATCATCACAACATGATCTCCATTAATATACATATGCTCAAATATGCAATGCATCATGACCATAGGAAGCAAATCGGAGTTCTCAGGTGCCTGGTTTACAGCCTTGAGTCTGAGCAATGTGCTATTGGCTGACATGCGATGGCATACCTCAAAATCATGCCAATTCATCATCTAATAAGTGGGAAGCCAAGCATCAATTGATACACACTTAAAACATATAAGGATTTGCGGAGATCTAAAAGATCAAATCAAGTATGAAAGTCGTGGGAGAAAATCAGGCTTTCAAAACACAAAACCAGTTCAATTGAGTTCACAATTCGGCTCTCAAATTTTCGACATAGTCTACTCTTATGAAATCAACAATTTAACAGGTCAAGAAGAAGATCTAAGTGACTGATATGATCATGAAAAACTCAGAGAAATATCAGCAAAAATTACCCCAAAATTCATAGAAGAAAGCTCATGACAAACTATGCCAAAATGTGCATGAGTGAAGCCTTTAACTATATGGATCAGGAGAGATTAATGATCATTCAAAGGATCAGAGATCTAATCATCAAAGGATGAAGAAATGTTGTTGTAATTGAGAATTCATAGCAAGGAGAAACTAAAGAAGTCAATGAAAATAGAAAAGATCTTACTTAATTGTTGAAGGCTTGAAGATTAGATCACCCACGACTAGAATTTGAGCTTTAGACCACCATTAATGTAGTATAAGACCTTCAAAGCAGTTCTTCTCTTACCTTATCATTTAGACAGAGAAAGGAAGAGGGAGACTAACTTTAGGCATGCCACTCAATGGGTAAAGAGAGAGAGGTGTGTGCCACTTTTGGAGAGAAAAATGTGAAGTGAACACGTGGGAAATGAAGGCTCAAGGGGGTATTTATAAGCTTCTAACCCTCAAGTGTGGAGATGCTTTTAGATGGATGAATCTTGGCCCTCAATGTCAACTACCAATGACTACAAAGAGAGGCTTAATCATGGCCCACCATCCACTATCATGTCATCAAGATGTGTGGTATGAATTTGAACACCTTTGTCCTCCTTTAATTCACTCCAATTCCCTTGTTACTAAAATACTCGTGCTCTTTACATTTAATAAAACTAAAACTAACATGGAAGGTACACCTTTGTAGAAATTTGTCAAATATTTCAGCAAAAAGCATATCTCAAAAGTTCCCTCCATTTTATAAGAGCATGTGGGGCTAATGAAATCATGCCACATAAACTAGGTGGTTAATTACACATCTACCATATACCCTTAGGGTTAGGCATGTAATTACAAACCCTATACCCCTTTTAGAATCTTCCACACACATGTCCACAAACCCTTGTTTTAAGCATTAACATGTGCCAAAATAATTTTTCCAAAAACTCAATATTTCATAAAATGCTATAATTCAATATCCTTTAGTTAAAACAACAAATAACATAAAGACATGAGGGTCCCTTGTGGGGTTGACGTCACCCCACGTCATCTCCACTTTGGGGGGACATGGGACCCCCCAAGTCAACACATGGACACCCATTTGCCATTTGGGTGTCCCATGTGAGTCCCAAGGGGCTGTCCTAATTTGTGATTACTTTCAAACAATTTTAGAAACGGATTTTCTTGCCCAAAAAATTCTCATAAATCCATAAAAATCATTTTAATGATTTCCATTAAAAAAAATTATTTTCGCTTTAATTAAAATATTTATAAGGGAAATTAGGATCCTTGGAGTTAAATTACGAAACAAATCACTCCACTCGACTAAACCCGAAATCCAAAGCCACCTTCCCTGGTATGACCCAATAGACTCATGACCCACAGACTCTATATTCAGGAGCTCATGATCTGAGCCTATCAAAGTCAACCGATATGCAACTTTGAATCGTCAAGTATAAGTGGATATCAGGTACACCCCCTAGAAGACATGCATATATATGGTGCGGGGATTCCTCTCTAAACATATGTGCATAGCTCAAACCAGTGGATCCCTGAAAGAGTGGCTTCCTATGTATTGCGACTGTATATGCACTTGCTACGAGAAGGTTCTAGGAGTCAGGGATTTAGGCCAATATCCTCTATTGGCCCTAACCTTTCCATACATGGCTTTTTATCATCAAGCTCATACATAAATTGTATTGCCCAAATCCATCGCTCAGTTATGAAGCACAAACATAACAACAGACCATGACTAAGAGGTAAACTTCAACCCTTTCGGTACCTCACATGCATATAAATCCTCCTCATGACTTAATTAGGGTTCCATGACTAAGAGGAGTCATGTCACTCTTTTACTCCCACTGAAGTTAAGAGCCATTGAAAATGTCGAAATTCATGGCCTTGAAAGGACATTATTTCAATAGAGAAAACCACCCTAGGACAGGTTGGCTCATTGCACTTGATGAACGCAATGCAGTTGGTTGGAACCCGTGCACAAGCTTGGGAGGAGTAAAAGCCAGGTGCTCATGAGGTTACTGACTTTGAGGTGTCAATTGATGACTCAAGTGGGGTGGTCCAGAGGAGACCATCAATGGCAAGGGTAGCTCAATGGACAGAGTCATCTGACTCCACGATGGGTTAACCTTCTTGAACCAATGGGAGGTTGGATGTGGTGAGACCATATTTACCCGAAGTGATTCAAAACCTGAATCGATTTAGGAATCAAAAGAGCAAAATCGCTGCCAGCTGGAAGATTCTTATTTTTGGAATCGACATTTGTACAACAGGAATCATGGGGGATGAGATTCTAATTTCTAGGAATCGAGATTTGACCAAAATAGAATTGAGATCCCTACATAGATGGAATCGAGATTCCTAACTCTTTGGAAAGTTTCCAACCTAATCAAAATCGACAAATATAGAATCGAGATTCCTTTGTTTATAGAATAGAAATTCCGACATCTTTGGAATCGAGAGAGAACTAAGAGGGAAACAATGCATGTCTCAATGCCATTCATTGACGAACATGTCATACATGCATGTTTATATTATTTGTATTACATTATTTTTAACATCTTGGAGTTGCAATCTCTGCATTGGATCAATACAATGCATACTTAAAGAATTAATTAGAGAACGTGAACCAATGCTTTGGTTTCTATTGGTAATTTCATGCCAAGAAAGATGACTACACTTTGTAGTTTGAGATTAGGTGTCTAGCTTGAGTAGTCCGATGTCTTAAAAACTCTTAAGCGTCACTTCTCGTAAAAACAGAAAAAGCTAAAAAAGGGAGGGGGGGGGAGAGTGGAAGAATTCCAATAAATGCAAAAAACAGTTTTAACAAGTGTAGAATTGAGAAACAACAATTGCGAAATCAGGAATCAGTAAATATTAGAAACAACTTTCTATAAGTGTTGGAATCAGGATTCCCAAGAAAAGGAATAAAGATTCCAGAGTTCACGAAAACGATTCTGTAAAGATTCTAATGGAAATCATAGTCATTGAGAGCGTGAATGATAAGAGCTCCAATCAGGAGCGGGTGTGTGGAGTGAGGTAGGCTCGAAGATCTGTAGTCAGCAGAACAAGGTTTGTACATGGTCAGTACTATCAGGGAGCGCATTCCATATCTGCAAAGGAGCAAATTCCTAACGGGATCGTGCCCCTCCACATTTAGGATTAAGGTTCATGAAGTTCACTTATCCATTTTATTGTAATTTAGGAGTGCATTCCATGGAACAACAAGAACTTTTTGATCAACGAAATGCGGAGGTTGCTGAAGTATCAAGTGGTTTGGAATTTAAACTTCCCATATAATAAATTAGACGATGTTCTCTATCCCCGGTATAGTGTCCTAATGGAGGAGTGGGATCAGCTGTATATTTCGCAAAGTATGAAGATGAGATTGTGTGAAATGTCGAATTCCATGGACAGCTCTCTAAATGATCTGTATATAGGCTTCTTCTTTCTTTTCTTTTTTTTATGATAGTTGGCAGTAGTCCTCACAAAGTGCAGGTCGCCCAAGATAAAATCCTTACTATGGATAGCTCGATCAAGAGGAATAAGATCCTTCCAAAGATATGTCTAATGTCCAAGGGATATTGCGAAACATGTGCCTATCTATTCGTGCATTGCCTGTTTGTCTCGAGAATATGGTACTGGTATTTCATGCAATTAAGGCTGACTATGCCTTAATATGTATTGGGTATTGTGACCCAAATTTCTTTCCCCAGTTTACCCAACAGTCATGATCATGGATCGTGGGAACCCGAGCTGCTAGGACGCCAATATTCAAATTTAACGCCAATATTCAAATTTAAACTTAGGCATGCATGCAGGGCGAGCATGAGATGTCGGTGTAATGGCTGGTGCGTGTGTCAGCTAGGAATGGGGAGACAGTTACGCCCCAGGTTGACTAGCAAGGTTGGCCTTGGATCAAGAATCTTGGAATGGTGGGCAATGGTGTCACCGACAAGAGTGGGGAGTTATGACAGGCTAGGTGGGCTGCTAGTGCACCACCATGTGTCCCTAACCAGGCCACAGGGTCAGTGGCTAGATTTTAAGCCCATGACAGCTACCATAGAGAAAAAGAAGATGCAAATATTGTAATCATTGACCCATTCTGGCAAACAGCTACCAAATGCCATACTAGGAGGCATGTACAAATAAGAAATCCCAATTTAAATACTACAAACTGACTATTGGGCCCATAATTGGGAATATCTTCGATCCCTTACTTTCTGCAATGTGAATAAAGACAGATGCATTAACACCACAGCATTTAAAAGTTTGGACTCAGAGATTGACTTGCCGTAAGCCAAAACCAAGTTGAATAAAAATTCAGCCAAGTTGACTCAGTAAATTCTCTAAGGCTTTAATTTTCAGATCCTAAGAAAGAAGTAGGCAAAGCAAACACAAAGGACATAATTTTAAAAATAATTGAAATATTCACAAATAAAGGCACCTGGTATTGATAATGTAAATTTCAACAGAATTTTTCATAGTCCAGCTATGGAACTTATCTTACAAAAGAACTCTTGAAGTTTTCAATTGCTTGAATAATGTACACCAATTAGGTGTAAGAAACTGTGATTGAAAATCCAATGTCTTATATCTAGTAAAATTAAGGCATTTTAGGGATTGAGATGCCAAAGAATGCAGAGGCTGAAGAGCGAAGATAACCAACTCTAGTAAACCCAACTCTAGTAAAACCAGTCATAAGCCTTAACACAAGGGGAAAACTCAAGTCTTTCGGGTCTGACACTTTGATATAAAACAATGAGAAAGTAACTTCTGAAAAAAAGTGCACCAACTTTTTGAAAAATAAAAAAACAAGGCAAATTGAGTCAGCATTCAGCCTGATAGCAATCAAGTCAACCTAAACAACCTTCTTAAATTAACTATGGCATTCACTAGTGCCCATGCAAAAGAAACAAGGAAGTAAAGAGGACCCAAGAACGAAGGAAATCAATAGGGAAGGGGAAGAACAGTTTAGAAGGAAATCAATAGGGAGGGAGAGATGATCAAGTAAAGGAGGATGGAACATTGGTAGATTAGAGGAAAGAGATTCTTGATGCAGAATATCAGAAAAAAAATGCAGAAATACCAAAAATAGCTACCCTAGATTGGAAGTAATGGGGAGACACAAGAATGCCTTGGTGAATTTACAGACAAATCCAAATGAAACATAAAAAATTGGAACAATTGGAACTGTGGAATATTAGTTAATTGGCATCGGAAAGATCCAAACCAAGATGGTAGAAACCCAGCAGGAGCCAAGAAATGTGGATAAATTGCAAAGAAAAAGAGAACGCCGAGTTTTGTGGTGAAGAGCAATGAAAGAAAATCATTCTTCTATTTATATACTTATATATGACCCATTTTTCCCACTCATAAATCTCCAAAAAGTTATAATTGTAGTCTTTGTAACTCGTTTTAAGCATTTTTCTGAAATTTCGTGACAAATGAAAGGGCAACAGGGTAAAGCATCATCAATCATTGTAAGGTCAAAGTTGTGCCTAACAGTTATAGACATGTCTAGAAATGATTCCTCATATCCTACAACGTAAAGGTTTATTGAGCCAAGTAACACGCAAACCTATTACATTGTGAGATTTAAAGTGATGAATTGAGAGAGAGAGAGAGAGAGAGTGGTTTTAATAGCCATTACTTCATTCAAAAGCAGAGGGACAAACAAAAAGTACAGCGCATCAAATAATAAACCAGTACCTGATCAAGCCCCCTACGATTTATCAAACAAGATCCCTTAATTCATCCCCAAGTTCATTCTTGTAACTGGCTCTCAGTTCATTAAGCTTGCGAAGACTGGTTTGCTGCCAAAGAAATAAAGACTGCCTAAGACTGGCAAGAAAATAACAAAATAACCCTCCACAGATGCATGAATCCATTGCATCCCATTGCATGTCCTAGAAATAAATAAAGTGTTGAAAACAAAACAAGATAGCTCCATACACACAATTAAGGACTTGGGCAGTTACTATTGCGGCAGAAGGTATGCTTCTATGCAACCACAATGTGACTTTGTTTGACTAAACAAAAATAACCACAAAAACCAATAAGACAATAAACCATCTTTCGTCTATTGCATCCTTATGCATGTCCTGGAACTAAAATGAAATTTCAAGAGCAAAATAACTCTCTTTTCATAATTAATAACTTGGACAACATACTATTGGGATAGAATGTATGCTTCCTATGCAACCAAAAGGTGTCTTTCTTTGAATAAATAAACACCCAAACCAATAAAAACATGCATCGTAACAATCATAATATAGTTTTAAGTTAGTACTTAGAGTAAATATAGATAAAAAACAGCTTACAAGCTGAGAGCTTTCATGACCAAGAGCATTCTCTGTTCTCAGAAAAAGAGATTTCCACTGATGCATAAGAGTACACTCCAGTGCTCGTGGATCTGCCTTGGCACTTTGAGGAATGGCCACAGAATGCAGGAAGTGATTGTTTACTGTTGAATCATGGTTAAAATCCCTTGATATCAATGCCCTAACATCCTTCTTGCTCTTCTTCAAAGCTGTCAAGTGCACAAACGACAAAAACACATTAAGAAAATTCATGGTTCATGACTTTGCAGTTTCAACTACTGAATTCTATGGAAACCCAAAAAAAGAAATGCATAACATTAAGGGAAAAAAAACTGAAAACAGGAAGAGAAGAGCCACACTTCAAACTACAATACAAATGAATTTTGTAACTTCTGCCTGAGCTTACCAGCCAGACGACCTATGGCATCTTGGTAATGAAGATCCAATAAAAGATTTGTCACTACATATCAAAAAGATAAAAAATAAAAAAAAGTATCAGATCAAACCATGTATTTTCATCTCATGACTAAAGTCAAATTGTCAAACCACTCCTCCTAAGGCCTAATATTATATTCATTAACGACATTGACGGTTAAATCTTTAACAAACAATCAAACAGGAAACTCTACCATAACCCAATGTTATATGGAGTTTAGGGCAGAGAATGGGATGGATTGGATCTGGATCCACTAGGATCCGGATTCGGATCCATAAAGTATACATGGGATCCAGATCTAGAATATTCATATCCGGATCCAGATTCAAAATATATACATAGGATTCAGATCCAGATCCAAACCCTATCGGATCGAACAAAATTATTTCATATCTTATTTTATATCTATAAAATAATATATAACAAAAAAAAAACTATATAACATACATGTATACATAAAACAATATATATTTTAATAACTGGTTTGGATCCGCACTGGATCTGCCTGTACCGGATCTAATATGAATTACTATTCGGATCCAAATTTTAGATCGAGTCGTATCTAAATCTTGGATCCATACCCGGATCCGGATAGGGTCCAAAATTCAGGTTTCGGATCCAAACCAAGTAAATTCTCACCCATAATGGAGTACAGTACTCCAAGAAGGCATCTACTGTATGTCCCTGCGATGGATAGTAGTGATGAACACATGGCTGGATCCACAATAACCAAGCTACAATCAATCTCCAATATGCAATGTTCATAAGAAACAGTGATGCTCCTTTGGAGTATGATGAGTACAGTAGATCTCACTCCATTCATGTATTGTATACTTTCCCTTCATAAAAAAATCAATGGAAAATGACAATTTTGATACAAAAAGTCCTCAAGTAAAGTTTGGAGTACCTTTTATACAGTAAGAACAAGTGCACCCTTCAACTTCAGCTTCATTATTGGCATTCAAGGAAGCGTTAAATGGAGCATCCTTATCAACATGAGTGTGATCTTTAACAGCTTGAGGCAATTTGGCACGGACAGAATTAGACAGCTCAGATGGTGTTGATCCTCCACTTGAAGAAGAACTCTGCAAATTCACTTCAACCATACTTGCTGGAGCTTTGCCTTTATCTTTTTGGGTGAAAATGATAACTGATTCACCTCCCTTTATATTGTCCAATGCATTCCTAACCTCATTTTCCTTGGATGAAAGGATTGCTTGACATTTTCTTTTGAGACCGCTCTCCTTATCATCCAAAGATTCAATGAATTTAACAGACCCATTTTGTTGCTTGCCAATATGGCCGTCACCAACATGTAGTAAATCGTCATTTATAACAGGAGAATCCCAGTTCTTAGACAAATTTTCTTTTTTTCTTCCAGAATCATTGTTAATTAGGCTGTTAGTGATGTCACTCAGTGCACGGGTTTTCTTGAAAGGGCCATCACTTGCTGCCTCTAGTCCTGAGGTATCCTCTTCTATGTTAATTAGAGGTCTAATTTGACCAGAAGGAACAATAGCCATCACCGAAGCAAACAATCTAGCATCAGATGACTATACATCTCATAGAATAAAGTCCACCAATTCGAGCCACCACCAATTTAGTTTAGTTCTCACTGTTCTTAAATATGGGGAAGGAAAGATCTTCTTTAGACGATGGCACTCTTATAAATCGACTCTCTTCATGCGCATCCCACACGCACACACAATATAGCAGAAAATCTTCACATGCCTAAAGATGAAAAGATAAGAAAAGTACACAACGGTATTAATCCATATCTCATGACCCTCTCTTCTCTCTTTCAATACACACTCTTATCACTCACTGGATGGTGGTAACTCAATGAATTAATATGCATTCCACAAAAAGAAAAAATAAACAACTCTTATTCAGAATGTTTGATGAAATCCACAAGGAGTATAGAAATATAAACACAGTTGAATGCAACAATAACTCTCAGATCCATCACCTGGCATGCATGTTTTCCTAATGAAACTTAAAAAATAATGGATCTTTTTAGTGCACAAAAGGAGGTGTTCAGGTGTCTGAATAAACAAAAACATGTTCTTTACTCATGTAGAACAACTGCAGAATCAGAGGGCTTTTTAACCATTTCAACAATAAAAAGAGAAACAGATCTACGAGGAAATATGAGGAAAATAATTACCAATAAACAAATGAAATTCCCTAGAATTTCACCAAAGATTACCATGTTTGCTCCATCAGTATATTACCCAGATCCAACACCCGAATCATTCATAGCAACTCAAATGAATCCCTTGATCCATTTAATGAGAATTAGAGAAAAGAGAAAGCATATTTGCATGCATAATCTTGAAACCCTAATCACACATGGTAACCCTACTACGGGTATGATCTGAAACTTTTAAAAAGAAGAAGAAAACAAGAATTGTTCCAAAAAAATAAAAAAAGAAGAAGAAAACATGGTCCAGAATTTGTAAATGTAGAAGTGAGAGAGAATGTTCAGGAGAGAGAGAGACGTGACAAATGAAATTGACCTTGCTCAAAGAGACAATTTCCCTTTTACACCGTCGAGGGGGAATGGGGGATGAGCCCCTTCCTAAAATAGCGTGTAACATGACAAATTAGTCATAGTTCTCGCGTTTGTGTGTAAGATAGAGAGGGAGTTTTGTCACATTTGTTTTTGGGTAATCAGTGAGGATTTGTGCCCATACCCTTTTTTTCATTAATAAGATACAGAAAACTTGGTATGTTTCATGGTTATTTTACAATTGAGATAATAATAACATGGAAAAGTATTTGACATGATAATTTTTTTCCATACAAACACCATTGGCTACTAGGTATGAAATTAAAAGATCCTATACATGTTTCTACTAATAATACTCAAATTTCTGGAACATCTTCAAATTCTACGATACTTTTTAGCTACTTGATTTCAAGTCTCAAAGCTAGGACTACTTGTGAGCTTCTTCAACCACAAATAAGCATAGGGGTGGCAATAGACTGAGCAGCCCGGCCGTTCAACCCGGCCCTAAAAACCTAGCTGGACTGGGGCTAAGCAAGCACAATTGGATGGTAGGGCCGCCCATACAATTTTATTTGGGCGGCCCCACTAGGCCTTGATAAGACTAGGGCTGGACATGGTCCAGAGCCCCTTTAGCCAGGTCAAGGCCGGCCATATGGGGACTAAGGACCATTGCCAACACTAGGTAAGCAGTCTTGCGCAATATATAATCCCGAATCGAAGAGAGACGAGGATCTTCTCACAGGTGAGAGACTAGTTTCAAATGTAGTCTATGTAGACGGCAATTTTGATATTTGGCATCATCACGCTACTATTATCTTCTCGCACTCGTTTGGAGACTTTTCCCTCCAAAACATTCACAAACCCCCACCCTTCTCTCTCTCTCTCTAAACCCAGCGGCTCACAGCTCATCCCCCATTGCCCCTCGACGGTGTAAAAGGGAAATTCTCTCTATGAGCAAGGTCAGTTTGATTTAATGAGTTTTATTTGTCACGTCTCTCTCTCTCTTCTCTCT